AGTGAGTGGGGGGGGGGGTACACCCTGACATTAGCCCCTCCTTTTCCCCCCTGCACAGCAAGCAGGAGTCTCTGGGAGCAGCTCCAAGGCAGAGGGCAGGAGCAGCACATGGCAGTGGGGGGAGGGACAGCTGAACTGCCTTGATAGCTTGCTGGGTGGCTGCAGCACAGGGAACTTAGAGGAGCAGGGAGTTGATAGGGGGAGCTGATAGGGGCGCTGCCAGTCCACCCTGGTTACAAGCCACCACCAGCTAGCAGCAATGGGCTGCTCTTCCTGCAATCAGTGGACAAAGCAGACGGCTGCCAAATGACGTTAGAAGGGAGCATTGCACAACTTTAAATGAGCATGTTCCCTAATTGATCAGCAACGTAACAATGAAACAACATTAACTGGGATGACTTTAAGTGAGGAGTTACTGGAGGAGCACTGCCAGATCAAGGGACGTAATTATCCCCCTGTATTCAGCACTGGTGAGGCCACGTCTGGAGTATTGCATCCAGTTTTGGGCCCCCCACTACAGAAAGGATGTGGACGAATTGGAGAGAGTCCAGCAGATGGCAACAAAAATGATTAGGGGACTGGGGCACATGACTTATGAGAAGAGGCTGAGGGAACTGGGCTTATTTAACTGCAGAAGAGAAGAGTGAGGGGGGATTTGATAGCAGCCTTCAACTACCTGAAGGGGGGTTCCAAAGAGGATGGAGCTTGGCTGTTCTCAGTGATGGTAGATTTCAGAAAAAGGAGCAATTGTCTCAAGTTGCAGTGTGGGAGGTCTAGGTTGGATATTAGGAAAAACTATTTCACTAGGAGGGTAGTGGTCCAGGGAGGCTTTTAAGGCCCGGCTTGACAAAACATGGCCTGGGATGATTTAGTTGGGGTTGGTCCTGCTTTGAGCAGGGGGTTGGACTAGATAAACTTCTGAGGTCTCTTCCAACCCTAATCTTCTATGATTCTATGATTCACTATAAATATGTCTCAGTGATGTGATATTGAGTTAGGTGCTGATCCTGAGTTGCATCATACAAGCTGGTGTGTATACTGTTGCCTTGGGGACAGTAGGCCAGGTATTTCTGTGAGTGTTCAGTGGATAAGGCTCTGGACACTACAGGGAAATGCTTTGGAGCGGCTCAGGGGCTAGGTGCACCTACTGCTAACTTGTAAAGCAAAGTGAGGCCTAGCATTGCCAACAAGGGCACACTGTTGACTCGTATCCAGCTTCTCGTTCACTGTAACCCGTAGGTCCTTTTCTGCAGAACTGCTGCCTAGCCACTCGGGCCCTAGTCTGTAAGAGTGAATGGGATTCTTCCATCCTAAGTGCAGGACTCTGTCCTTGTCCTTGTTGAACCTCATCAGGTTTCTTTTGGCCCAATCCTCTAATTTGTCTAGGTCCCTCTGTATCCTATCCCTACCCTCCAGCGTATCTACCACTCCTCCCAGTTTAGTGTCATCTGCAAACTTGCTGAGAGTGCAGTCCACACCATCCTCCAGATCATTAATGAAGATATTGAACAAAACCAGCCACAGGACCAACCCTTGGGGCACTCCACTTGAAACCGGCTGCCAACTAGACACGGAGCTATTGATCACTACCCGTTGAGCCCGACAATCTAGCCAGCTTTCTATCCACCTTATAGTCCATTCATCCAGCCCATACTTCTTTAACTTGCTGAATCATCATGTGTATATGTGTGAGGGGGGATCGGGAACCCTGGTATGAGGGAAGGAGGAAATGGGGCCACAGAGAGCCCCTGAAATGGGGGGAAGAATGTGTAACCATGGTATTCGGAGAGGGGGAAAAAAGAGGTAATACAGTGCTCTTGGCCTGAGGCATAAGAAGGTAATGCGGATGGATATAGATCCTCCGGCATTTGAGGACAATAAGAGAAAATGGTATGGGGACAGGGGAGAATGAGGGGCTCATGGGGAGAAAGAAGGTCACACAGGTCCTCTGGATTGGGGGTAAAAATTGGGGACCCTGGATTGTGGGGAGGAGGAACAAACAGAATTGATGACAAAAGTCCGTAGTTGTTGCAGGCAATCCTTGAAATAGAGGGGGATGGGAGGGTGACACACAGGGAGCTCGTGAGAGTGCAGGTAAGTTGCAGAAGAGGACTACTAGGGTGATCCAAGGAATGGAAAACGTACTTTATTAGAGACTACTCAAAGAGTTTGGTTTGTTTAGCCGAACCAAACAAAGGCTGAGGGGAGATATCATTGCTCTGTATAAATACATCACAGGGATAAATATCAGGGAGGGAGAGGAGTTATTTAAATTAAGCACCAATGTGGACACAAGAACAAATGGATAGAAACAGGCCATCAACAGCCTAGGCTTGAAATTAGACAAAGGTTTCTAACCATCAGAGGTGTGAATTTCTGGGAGAGACTTCCACAGGGAGCAGTGGGGGCAAAAAAACAACTTGTTTCAAGAATGAGCTTGATACATTTATGGAGGGGATGGTAAGATAGGACTGTCTTTAATCATTCTTGTGGCTCTTCTCTGTAACCTCTCGAGTTTTTCAAACATCCTTCTTGAATTATGGACAGCAGAACTGACTGGACATAAGAACATAAAAACTGCCATAAAGGATCACACCAATGGTCCATGTAACCTAGGATTCTGTCTCCAACAGTGGCCAGTTCCAGAGCTTCAGGAAAAGTGTACAGAACAGGACTACTGTGGAGAAATCCACCCCTCTCTTTTCCTCCTGGCTTCTGGCAGTGAGAGGTTAAGGTTGTCACAAGCATGGGTTTACATCCCTTGACCATCTTGGCTAATAACCGTTGATGGACCCATAGTAGAACCTCATTTTTCCAACCCTCCATTATCCAGCTCTCCATATTAACTGAACAACCAGTGCACACAGGTCCAGAAGTGGGCAATATCTCCTGTGTCCACTGGATGGCGCTGCAGACCAGGGGTGCTGGAACAATTTTTATAGTGGGGGTGCTGAGAGCCATTGAACCAAACTGTAAACCCTGTATAGGATGGAAACCACTTCAAGCCAGGAGGTGCAGCAGCACCCCCATCACCCCTCGTTCCAGCACCTATGCTGCAGACTCATACTTTCCCATTCTCAGTATTATCCACATTTTTTATTATCCAATCTGGCCTGGTCCCAATTAGATCAGAAAAACAGGGTGCTGCTATATTTTCTATAAACTTATCTCGTTCTTTTTTTGACCACCGTTGTTACACTTTTGGCCATCACAAAATCCCCTGGCAATGAATTCCACGGGTTGATTATATGCTGTATCAAAAATATTTTCTCTTGTTTGTATTAAATGTTCTGCATATTACTTTCATTGGGTGACCTGTGCTTTTTGCATTGTGGGAAATGGTAAACAACACTTCACTATCCACTTTTTCCACACCATTCATAACTTTATAGATCTCTATCATCTCCCCTTTAATTATCTTTTCCTAAAATAAGCTTCCCTAATTCTTTCAGTTTCTCTTAATATGGAAGCCATTCCATACCATTTAGTTCCCTTCTCCAAACCTTCTCCAGTTCCACTATGTCTTTTCTGACATGGGGTGACCAGAACTGGACAAAATATTCCAGCAGTGGTTGCACCAGTGCCAAATACAGAGGTAAATTAATCTCTATACTCCTACTCAAAATTCTCCTGATTATGCTGCCCACAAACAAATTAGATTTTTGGCCAGTGTCACACTCGGATTTCATGTTCAGCTGATTATCAACCATGACCCCAAAATCTTGTGGGGGGTCTAATAGAATAGAATTAGAATTTGGTCCACAATTTTATATATAATACAGATAAGATTTTCACAACCACCTACAAAATGAGGAAGTCTGTTCCTCGTTAATTATCCTACCTTTCCTGAATGTGAACACTGAAGACTCAGTTATTGACATTTCACTGCTCCTTCAATAAACATTTTTATGTTACGTGAGAAACTTATGCTTTTTTCAACATATTCACTATGGCTCTTTTCACCTCCTTGTTTTTCAGGCTGTAGATGATGGGATTTAACATAGGGGTCAAGATGCTGTACTGGATGGACACCAGCATATCTAGAACCTCGGAGGATGCTGAGCTGGGTCTCACATATCGAAAGGAACCTGTTCCAAAGTATAAAATAACGATGAGAAGGTGGGAGCTGCAGGTGGAGAAGGCTTTACGCCTGCCATCCATGGAGTGTATTCTCAGGATGGTGGCAATTATGTGAATGTAGGAGACCAGTGTGAGCAGGAAGGAGCTGGATCCAAATATTGCAATGGAGGAAAGGAGCACCACTTCATTGTTGAAGGTCTCAGTGCAGGACAAGACCAAGAGTGAAGGGAGCTCACAGGTGAAATGGTTGATTTCGCTGGGACCACAGAAGTGTAATTTTAGCAGAGGAACAGTATTTAACAGAGCATCTATAAAGCCAATGATCCATGCACCCACCACTAGCTGTCGGCAGAGTCGTTTCTTCATTGTTTCCATATAATGCAGTGGGTCACATATGGCAGCATATCGGTCATAAGCCATAGCTGCAAGAGTGAAAATTTCAGCACCAGATGACAAAATAATAAAGAATATTTGGGTAATGCAGCCATTGGCAGAAATGGTTTTCTTCTCTGCTAGAAAGTTCTCCAGCATCTTGGGGACAATGGTGGAGGAATAGCAGATGTCAACAAAGGATAAATGGGACAGAAAGAAGTGCATGGGTGATTGAAGATGAGGATCAACCTTTATCACCAACATGATAAGCATGTTCCCCAGTAAGGTTATTACATAAATAACTAAAAATACCAAGAACAGGAAAACCTGGAGCTGTGGGTCACTGGAAATTCCTAAGATAATAAATTTGGCCACAGTGGTTTGATTCTCCATTATTCTTCAGCAAAACAGTGTCCTGTGAGAACTGAAAAAAAATGAAACAGTAATACAAACCTAATTTATATACACAGGAATGCAGTGAGTGGATAAATTCTAATAAATAGGTAATCTAGACACAGAGACAGATGGATCCAAGAAAGGCAGAACGTATTTTTGACTATTTCATTTTTCTGACATTTGTCCAATTTCCAACGTAAAGTTCTCAACATATCTATAGGGGGAAAATAGAGGAATAATGAACTTCTTAAGTAGAAAGTTGAAAGTTGATAGATTGAGCTTTTCATTTGCCTTGTAGTGTGAGGTAGATGGATAAATAGAGCTGCAAATACATAGATACATAGATACATAGATAGATAGATAATGTATGGATGTATATGAATAGATAGATAAATCTTTATTAGAGCTGTTTAATTAACTGGAAAGATATCACAAAATTGTGAACATTTTCAAATGATTTTCATTACATTAATTTTAAAAAGTCTGGGAATCTGAGTCTATAAGAATATATTTAATTTTTTTCCATAGAAATTCTGTATAATTGTTTTCATTTTTCATTTCCCCTTCAAAACAAAAAAAGTCTTTTTTTAATTTCAACAGACCTCCATATATCTAAGATGATCAATGAAAATTGACACTGCAAAAGAAAGCATAAACTAACAAAACTACCAAACAAATAAGAGAATTGCAAAATCCTAAAGAAGAAGAAGAAGAAGAAGAAATGTAAAAGAAAAATTCAATAAATAATCACAAAATCAAGAACTGTAAAAATGGAATTTTTTGAAAAAAATAAAACAAAACAAAACAAAAACAAATTTCTCAATTTTGTGGAAGCTTTCATTTTCAAATAAAAGAATATTTTCAACGGAAGTTTGTGCAGATGAATTTGGTTTTCAGAAATATGAAGAATATATAGGCTAACAGGGATAAAATGAAAGAAACATGAACAAAAAAACCTCACCAGATTTCTATCCAGAGGTCCAAGGTTATGTGAAATTTTAATTCTTCTCCTCCAGCATATCTATCTATGTGGATGTAGGTAATACAAATTGTTTGTTTAAGACTTGAAACTGTTTAAATATGTTCTCGTTGCCTCTGGGACAAGGTCCCTGATGTTTCTCATGCTGGCACTTTTCTCATTCAATAATCAATCAAAGTTTTATGGCCTGTTAGTTAGGAAGCACTAAATGAAGTTATATGACTTGCCTTATATTTGATATATTTGTTTAGAAAATGGGTCCTATTCCTAGTGTAGCTCCACTGAAGGGAATAGACCAGAATACCAGTAGTGTAAACAGATGCAACTCTACTGAAATCAACTGAGGCCAAATCCTCAGTTGGTGTAAATCATTGTAGCTACATTGAAGTCCGTGCTTATCATGTCGCTAATGAATTCAACAGATCATCCTTACACCAGCAGAAGAGATCACCCTATAGTTGCAATGTTTATTAAATACAGAGGTTGTGATTTTTAAAGTGACCAAAGGGATTTAGGCATGCAACTCTCATTAAAAGTCATTGGAATTTTAGTCTCTAACTCCTATAGGGTTCCTATAAAAACTCCTAGCCTAAGCACCCAAATGGATTGTCAGAAGCATGTAGGTTTTTAACTCCTATTGAAACCAATGCATTTTAGATACTTAGGTGCTTTTGTACTTCTTTCTAGGTGCCTACATATCTCTGAAAATCTGGCCTTCAGGATCCAATGAAAATGAAATCTCTCTTGAATGCTGAAATTTGAACAACCCAATGGGCTACAGACCAAGTATTAGTCACTAAGATTATTCAGGTGTCATTATTTAGCACTTCCTTGTTTGTTTGAAACTGCAAGATGCCCATGTCTAATAATCAAACACAGGTCATAGGATCCAATTTGGTGCTAATATTTGTGGCTTCATTTATCTAGAGCCCACATTCCCAAGGGTAAAAGTTAGACACAGTTTGATATTCTGCTGTACAGTTCTGCACTGATCCGAATTATGGGTCCCTTACTCCTGCTGTTTAGTAGTTACTCACCACCCTGAAGTTACTAAGGCTCACCAATGTGGGTAAGGGTTTTTCAACCATCATTAAGAAAATACATACACATAAGGGGGAAAATTAAAGTCAATTCATAATATTTGAGTGTTCTCCAATACTCTAACATTTTTCCCCACGGAATTTCCAAAGAGAAAGAGTGTGTATAGACAGACAGACAGATAGACAGACAGACAGACAGACACACACACAGAGAGACATATGAGAAAAGTACATGTTTTCAATATTGGTATAGTAGCATACAACTTGCTCAGGAAGGACAGGAAGGGAAAAAAGGGAGAAGGTGATGCATTGTATATCAAATATGTATACACTTGCACTGAGGTTGAGATGGAAATAGGATACAGACTTGTTGAAAGTCTCTGGGTAAAGATAAAAGACCTAAAAACAAAGGTGATGTCATGGTAAGGGCTTATTTTAGATCACCTAAAGAGGAAGAAGAAGTGGATGAGGCTTTTTCTAAACAACTAACAAAATCATCCAAAGCACAGGACTTGGTGGTGATGGGGACTTCAATTACCCAGACATCTGTTGGGAAAATAATACAGCAGGACGCAGATTGGAGACAATTTTTTTATTTCAGAAGATGGAAAAAGCCGCTAGGGGAGAAGCTGTTCTAGATTTGATGTGGACAATTAGGGAGAAACTGGTTGAGAATTTGGAAGTGGAAGGCAGCTTGGGTGAAAGTGATCATGAAATGATATGATTCCAAGGAATCATAGAATATCAGGGTTCGAAGGGACCTCAGGACGTCATTTAATCCAACCCCCTGCTCAAAGCAGGACCAATTTCCAACTAAATCATCCCAGCCAGGGCTTTGTCAAGCCTGACCTTAAAAACCTCTAAGGGAGGAGATTCCACCACCTCCCTAGGTAACCCATTCCAGTGCTTCACCACCCTCCTAGTGAATTTTTTTTCCTAATATCCAACCTAAACCTCCCCCACTGCAACTTGAGACCATTAGTCCTTGTTCTGTCATCTGCAAGCACTGAGAACAGTCTAGATCCATCCTCTTTGGAACCCCCTTTCAGGTAGTTGAAAGCAGCCATCAAATCCCCCCTCATTCTTCTCTTCTGCAGACTAACCAATCCCAGTTCCCTCAGCCTCTTCTCATAAGTCATTTGCTCCAGCCCCCTAATCATTTTTCTTGTCCTCCGCTGGACTCTTTCCAATTTTTCCACATCCTTCTTGTAGTGTGGGGCCCACAACAGGACACAGTACTCCGGATGAGGCCTCACCAATGTCGAATAGAGGGGAATGATCACATCCCTCAATCTGCTGGCAATGCCCCTACTTATAGAGCCCAAAATGCTATTAGCCTTCTTGGCAACAAGGGCACACTGTTGACTCATATCCAGCTTCTCGTCCACTGTAACTCCAGGTTCTTTTCTGCAGAACTGTTTCCTAGCCATTCGGTCCCTAGTCTGTAGCAGTGAATGGGATTCTTCCATCCTAAGTGCAGGACTCTGCACTTGTCCTTGTTGAACCTCATCAGGTTTCTTTTGGACCAATCCTCTAATTTGTCTAGGTCCCTCTGTATCCTATCCCTACCCTCCAGCTTATCTACCACTCCTCCCAGTTTAGTGTCATCTGCAAACTTGCTGAGAGTGCAGTCCACGCCATCCTCCAGATCATTAATGAAGATACTGAACAAAACCGGCCCCAGGACGGACCCTTGGGGCACTCTGCTTGATACTGGCTGCCAACAAGACATGGAGCCATTGATCACTACCCGTTGAGCCCAATGATCTAGCCAGCTTTCTATTCACCTTATAGTCCATTCATCCAGCCCATACTTCTTTAACTTGCTGGCAAGAATACTGTGGGACACCGTATAAAAAGCTTTGCCAAAGTCAAGGAATAACACATCCACTGCTTTCCCCTCATCCACAGACCCAGTTATCTCCTCATAGGAGGCAATTAGATTAGTCAGGCATGACTTGCCCTTGGTGAATCCATGCTGATTGTTCCTGATCACTTTCCTCTCCTCTAAGTGCTTCAGAATTGATTCCTTGAGGACCTGCTCCATGATTTTTCCAGGGATTGAGGTGAGGCTGACTAGCCTGTAATTCCCCGGATCCTCCTTCTTCCCTTTTTTAAAGATGGACACTACATTCGCCTTTTTCCAGTCATCCGGGACCTCCCCCCAATCACCATGAGTTTTAAAAGGTAATGGCCAATGGATCTGCAATCACATCCGTCAACTTCTTTAGCACCCTTGGATGCAGCGCATCCCATGGACTTGTGCTCGTCCAATTTTTCTAAATAGTCCCGAACCACTTCTTTCTCCACAGAGGGCTGGTCACCTCCTCCCCATACTGTGCTGCCCAGTGCAGCAATCTGGGAGCTGACCTTGTTTGTGAAGACAGAGGCAAAAAAAGCATTGAGTACATTAGCTTTTTCCACATCCTCTGTCACTAGGTTGCCTCCCTCATTCAGTAAGACTCCCACACTTTCCTTGACTTTCTTCTTGTTGCTAACATACCTGAAGAAACCCTTCTTGTTACTCTTAACATCTCTTGCTATCTGTAACTCCAGGTGTGATTTGGCCTTCCTGATTTCATTCCTGCATGCCTGAGCAATGTAGGCAGGAAAACAGCATAATATAGTTAATGGATTTCAAGAAGGTAAACTTTAGCAAACTCAGGGAGCTGGTAGGTAACATCCTATGGGAAGCAAGTCTAAAGGGCAAACAGTTCAAGAGAATTGGTAGTTTTTTAAAGAGGCATTATTAAGTGCACGTGAGCAAACTATCCCACTGCATAGGAAATATAGGAAGTATGGCAAGAGACCACTCTGGCTTAACCAGGTTATGTTCAGTGATCTGAAACTCAGAAAAGAGTCCTACAAAAAGAGGAAACTAGGTCAAATTACAAAAGATGAATATAAAAAACAACACAAGCATATAGGGACAACATTAGAAAGACCAAGGCACAAATCTCGCCACCTTCCACTCAGAAGGCAAGTCATATTCCTTTTTTTTACTTTGTTAATATAAACACATGACATAGAATGTGTGTGTGTGTATGTGTATACATCCCAACACAATTTCTTCCTGGAGACAGGAAAGAAGAAACATATGACATATGCCAGTCACTTAGTACATTTCTATGTGCTACAGAGATGAGGGCTGCATGAGAACTTGAAGTGAATAGAATAGAATAGAGTAGAATTCAGGTGTATAGGACCACAAACCACAAGGCCATAGAGAATCAGATTCTCTGTGTTAATATCACCAAGTGATTCTGTTTGGGTCCTATCACAAGAACTTTTGTGTTGGAATGGTCATTAA